AGGTGCGGTGACAGTGACGACAGCAGTGACAGCGACAATGACTCTGCAACGTCTTCGGGTTCGCCTGCAAAGAGGGAAACCAGCAGTGACAGCAGCAGTGACTCTGCAACGTCTTCGAGTTCCCCTGCAAAGAGGGAAACCAGCAGTGACAGCAGCAGTGACTCTGCAACGTCTTCGGGTTCCCCTGCAAAGAGGGAAACCAGCAGTGACAGCGACAGTGACTCTGCAACGTCTTCGGGTTCCCCTGCAAAGAGGGAAACCAGCAGTGACAGCGACAGTGACTCTGCAACGTCTTCGGGTTCCCCTGCAAAGAGGGAAACCAGCAGTGATAGCGACAGTGACTCTGCAACGTCTTCGGGTTCCCCTGCAAAGAGGGAAACCAGCAGTGACAGCAACAGTGACTCTGCAACGTCTTCGGTTTCCCCTGCAAAGAGGGAAACCAGCAGTGATAGCAACAGTGACTCTGCAACGTCTTCGGTTTCCCCTGCAAAGAGGGAAACCAGCAGTGACAGCGACAGTGACTCTGCAACGTCTTCGGGTTCGCCTGTAAAGAAGGAAACCAGCAGTGACAGCGGCAGTGACTCTGCAACGTCTTCGGGTTCGCCTGTAAAGAAGGAAACCAGCAGTGACAGCGGCAGTGACTCTGCAACGTCTTCGGGTTCGCCTGTAAAGAAGGAAACCAGCAGTGATAGCGGCAGTGACTCTGCAACGTCTTCGGGTTCCGCTGCAAAGAGGGAAACCAGCAGTGACAGCAACAGTGACTCTGCAACGTCTTCGGGTTCCCCTGCAAAGAGGGAAACCAGCAGTGAAAGCCGCCCTGTGATCCCCCAAAGAAGGATGGACAACTGCAGTGACAACTGCAGTGACAGCAGCAGTGACAGCAGCAGTGGCAGCAGCAGTGAATTGTTACAGATTTATGAACTGGTGCTGGAGAGGATGAGGCAGGCGTAGAGGTGCGGTGACAGTGACGACAGCAGTGACAGCAACAGTGACTCTGCAACGTCTTCGGGTTCCCCTGCAAAGAGGGAAACCAGCAGTGACAGCGACAGTGACTCTGCAACGTCTTCGGGTTCTCCTGCAAAGAGGGAAAGCAGCAGTGATAGCAACAGTGACTCTGCAACGTCTTCGGGTTCGCCTGCAAAGAGGGAAACCAGCAGTGACTCTGCAACGTCTTCGGGTTCCCCTGCAAAGAGGGAAACCAGCAGTGACAGCAACAGTGACTCTGCAACGTCTTCGGGTTCCCCTGCAAAGAGGGAAACTAGCAGTGACAGCGACAGTGACTCTGCAACGTCTTCGGGTTCCCCTGCAAAGAGGGAAACTAGCAGTGACAGCAGCAGTGACTCTGCAACGTCTTCGGGTTCCCCTGCAAAGAGGGAAACCAGCAGTGACAGCAGCAGTGACTCTGCAACGTCTTCGGGATCCCCTGCAAAGAGAGAAACCAGCAGTGACAGCAGTAGTGACTCTGCAACGTCTTCTGCTTTCCCTGCAAAGAGGGAAAGCAGCAGTGACAGCAGCAGTGACTCTGCAACGTCTTCGGGTTCGCCTGCAAAGAGGGAAACTAGCAGTGACTCTTCAACGTCTTCGGGTTCCCCTGCAAAGAAGGAAACCAGCAGTGACAGCAGCAGTGACTCTGCAACGTCTTCGGGTTCCCCTGCAATGAGGGAAACCAACAGTGACAGCGGCAGTGACTCTGCAACGTCTTCGGGTTCCCCTGCAAAGAGGGAAACCAGCAGTGACAGCAACAGTGACTCTGCTACGTCTTCGGGTTCCCCTGCAAAGAGGGAAACCAGCAGTGACAGCGACAGTGACTCTGCAACGTCTTCGGGTTCCCCTGCAAAGAGGGAAACTAGCAGTGACAGCAGCAGTGACTCTGCAACGTCTTCGGGTTCCCCTGCAAAGAGGGAAACCAGCAGTGACAGCAGCAGTGACTCTGCAACGTCTTCGGGTTCCCCTGCAAAGAGGGAAACCAGCAGTGACAGCAGCAGTGACTCTGCAACGTCTTCGGGTTCCCCTGCAAAGAAGAGGGAAACCAGCAGTGACAGCGACAGTGACTCTGCAACGTCTTCGGGTTCCCCTGCAAAGAGGGAAACTAGCAGTGACAGCAGCAGTGACAGCCGCCCTGTGATCCCCCAAAGAAGGATGGACACCAGCAGTGACAACAGCAGTGGCAGCAGCAGTGAATTGTTACAGATTTATGAACTGGTGCTGGAGAGGATGAGGCAGGCGTAGAGGTGCGGTGACAGTGACGACAGCAGTGACAGCAGCAGTGACTCTGCAACGTCTTCGGGTTCGCCTGCAAAGAGGGAAACCAGCAGTGACTCTGCAACGTCTTCGGGTTCCCCTGCAAAGAGGGAAACCAGCAGTGACAGCAACAGTGACTCTGCAACGTCTTCGGGTTCCCCTGGAAAGAGGGAAACCAGCAGTGACTCTGCAACGTCTTCGGGTTCGCCTGCAAAGAGGGAAACCAGCAGTGACTCTGCAACGTCTTCGGGTTCCCCTGCAAAGAGGGAAACCAGCAGTGACAGCAACAGTGACTCTGCAACGTCTTCGGGTTCCCCTGGAAAGAGGGAAACCAGCAGTGACTCTGCAACGTCTTCGGGTTCGCCTGCAAAGAGGGAAACCAGCAGTGACAGCAGCAGTGACTCTGCAACATCTTCGAGTTCCCCTGCAAAGAGGGAAAGAAACAGTGACAGCGACAGTGACTCTGCAACGTCTTCGGGTTCCCCTGCAGAGAGGGAAACTAGCAGTGACAGCAGCAGTGACTCTGCAACGTCTTCGGTTTCCCCTGCAAAGAGAGAAACCAGCAGTGACAGCAGCAGTGACTCTGCAACGTCTTCGGGATCCCCTGCAAAGAGAGAAACCAGCAGTGACAGCAGTAGTGACTCTGCAACGTCTTCTGCTTTCCCTGCAAAGAGGGAAAGCAGCAGTGACAGCAACAGTGACTCTGCAACGTCTTCGGGTTCGCCTGCAAAGAGGGAAACTAGCAGTGACTCTTCAACGTCTTCGGGTTCCCCTGCAAAGAAGGAAACCAGCAGTGACAGCAGCAGTGACTCTGCAACGTCTTCGGGTTCCCCTGCAATGAGGGAAAACAACAGTGACAGCGGCAGTGACTCTGCAACGTCTTCGGGTTCCCCTGCAAAGAGGGAAACCAGCAGTGACAGCAACAGTGACTCTGCTACGTCTTCGGGTTCCCCTGCAAAGAGGGAAACCAGCAGTGACAGCGACAGTGACTCTGCAACGTCTTCGGGTTCCCCTGCAAAGAGGGAAACTAGCAGTGACAGCAGCAGTGACTCTGCAACGTCTTCGGGTTCCCCTGCAAAGAGGGAAACCAGCAGTGACAGCAGCAGTGACTCTGCAACGTCTTCGGGATCCCCTGCAAAGAGAGAAACCAGCAGTGACAGCAGTAGTGACTCTGCAACGTCTTCTGCTTTCCCTGCAAAGAGGGAAAGCAGCAGTGACAGCAGCAGTGACTCTGCAACGTCTTCGGGTTCGCCTGCAAAGAGGGAAACTAGCAGTGACTCTTCAACGTCTTCGGGTTCCCCTGCAAAGAAGGAAACCAGCAGTGACAGCAGCAGTGACTCTGCAACGTCTTCGGGTTCCCCTGCAATGAGGGAAACCAACAGTGACAGCGGCAGTGACTCTGCAACGTCTTCGGGTTCCCCTGCAAAGAGGGAAACCAGCAGTGACAGCAACAGTGACTCTGCTACGTCTTCGGGTTCCCCTGCAAAGAGGGAAACCAGCAGTGACAGCGACAGTGACTCTGCAACGTCTTCGGGTTCCCCTGCAAAGAGGGAAGCTAGCAGTGACAGCAGCAGTGACTCTGCAACGTCTTCGGGTTCCCCTGCAAAGAGGGAAACCAGCAGTGACAGCAGCAGTGACTCTGCAACGTCTTCGGGTTCCCCTGCAAAGAGGGAAACCAGCAGTGACAGCAGCAGTGACTCTGCAACGTCTTCGGGTTCCCCTGCAAAGAAGAGGGAAACCAGCAGTGACAGCGACAGTGACTCTGCAACGTCTTCGGGTTCCCCTGCAAAGAGGGAAACTAGCAGTGACAGCAGCAGTGACAGCCGCCCTGTGATCCCCCAAAGAAGGATGGACACCAGCAGTGACAACAGCAGTGGCAGCAGCAGTGAATTGTTACAGATTTATGAACTGGTGCTGGAGAGGATGAGGCAGGCGTAGAGGTGCGGTGACAGTGACGACAGCAGTGACAGCAGCAGTGACTCTGCAACGTCTTCGGGTTCGCCTGCAAAGAGGGAAACCAGCAGTGACAGCAGCAGTGACTCTGCAACGTCTTCGGGTTCTCCTGCAAAGAGGGAAAGCAGCAGTGATAGCAACAGTGACTCTGCAACGTCTTCGGGTTCGCCTGCAAAGAGGGAAACCAGCAGTGACTCTGCAACGTCTTCGGGTTCCCCTGCAAAGAGGGAAACCAGCAGTGACAGCAACAGTGACTCTGCAACGTCTTCGGGTTCGCCTGCAAAGAGGGAAAGAAACAGTGACAGCAGCAGTGACTCTGCAACGTCTTCGAGTTTCCCCTGCAAAGAGGGAAACCAGCAGTGACAGCAACAGTGAACTTGCAACGTCTTCGGTTTCCCCTGCAAAGAGGAAACCAGCAGTGATAGCAACAGTGGAACTCTGCAACGTCTTCGTTTTCCCTGCAAGAGGAAACAGCAGAGCAGGGACAGCGACAGTGAATCTGCAACGTCTTCGGGTTCCGCGTAAAGAAGGAAACCAGCAGTGACAGCGGCAGTGACTCTGCAAAACGTCTTAGGGTTCGCCTGTAAAGAAGGAAACCAGCAGTGACAGCGGCAGTGACTCTGACACGTCTTCGGGTTCGCCTGTAAAGAAGGAAACCAGCAGTGATAGCGGCCCCCCCCCCCCAGGACTCTTGCAACGTCTTCGGGTTCCGCTGCAAAGAGGGAAACAAGCAGTGGACAGCAACAGTGGACTCTGCAACGTCTTCGGAGTTCCATGACAAAGAGGGAAACCAGCAGTGAAAGCCG